TTTAAGCAGCACCAGTGTTTGATTTTCCTGCACGCTGACCCACACATCCAGTGTGAGTGAGCAAACAAATAGAGCTTCTGTGCTAGTCAGTGTGACAGCAATGCTCCAGCCCTGCCTTCATGGCTTCTCCCAACTAAGCTGCATGAAGAAAGATTACAAAGTCAGCAACATCACTTGGATGGAATAAACCTTATTAATCCAAATCTTCAAGGCTACCCACAACATTCATTTGAATATCATTGTGAATAAAAGAACCAAATCCATGCACAAAAAGACATAACTATATCCTGTTTAACAAGGGGCAAAGTTATGCTTTAACAAGGTTTACTCTGATTCACTCGACTTGAGGAAAGAAAAAGATAACACCAGTGACTAGACTAAGAATAAGCAAAAATTTCTAGGGTCATTCTAAAACTGTTTCTAAATGAGTGCTGTCAAAAGATAAAAATCATCAATATTCACAGCCTAAATTCTGAATTGCTGGTGGTTGAGAGAGGAAGAGTTACCTCTTGCAGTCTTCTTACTAAGCAGAAATAAGTGAACTAGATCCACTGATGGTGAGCCTGAGCCAGTAGAATGGTACCTTTTCACTACATTCATCCAATACTCTCAGGTATTAAGCTTTTATTCAAATTATATTTTAGATGTTTATGAAAGAAAACATCACAAATAAATTTCTTCTTGGAAGGTGAAAATAGATAACTTCATTTTGATTACTGAAGAAGAGAGATACTAATTTCTTTAGTTAAGGGGAAAAAAGACACTAAAATCTCTTTCATTATGTAGTTAAGGGGAAAAAAGACACTAAAATATGTTTCATTATCTGCAGAGGATTTTCCCTTAAAATCATTAGGGAAAAAAGGCTTTTTTCATCCTCCAAAATAAATGTTTCACATGGTTGTGATTCAATATGCTTTACACTACACTGATAATTCTCATTATTCTTCAAATGTCATATTTGAGGAGGTTAATACACCGTTAACATGAGTAACTTTTTCATGGAAGTTAAGCCATATGGAACCAACAGGCACAACTTGGCCATATAAATGACTGGGTAGTGCAGGTCATCTTCTGCCACACTGCACCAGGGCAACTCCACTGGCTTCACTTGCATGCCCAGGCCTAAAACAAGGGAGGAACCTGTCCCTCTCTAGAAAATCAAAGTAGAAACAACTTTTTAGTCCTTCCCAAAACAGGGATATTCCATAAAAAAGAAGGGATCAATTCATATACTAGACTTGCCTGCATGCAATCTGCAACATGCCTTCACCACCAGAGAAGATTTCTCCTAATAAATTTGGAATCATGGAGGCGAACCATATCTTTTAATATAGTTTGCTAAGAATAGTGAATTTTGTTCACTATTTCTCTGTCAATTATGAAATCTGTAAAAGACAGAGTAACTGAATTAACATGACAGTTGGTTAGAGGAGTGGCACCATTGATTCCTACAACTTTTTGCCCCTGCCAGGAATATAGCAACCAAACCACACAATTTGCTGTTCTGCATCAGATCCTGAGTGGTTAACCCTATGGCCCTGAGACAGCAAACACATCAGCAGTCTTGTCAGTTTTACCATTAATCTCAAGCACAGGTAACATCAAGGGAACTCTAGGAGTGAAGGACATTCTCTGTCCCTAAAGCACACAATTCTCCTTTATCCCCCTTCCCCCAACTCCCTGTCCACAATTTTCTTGCCATCTCCCCAAACAGACTCTGCCTGTAAGTAACGAAGGATCATGTTTCTCCCATTCTGCCCATCTTCTTTTTTTCTCCTCTCTTCTCAGTGCTCTTACAGTTGCTGTGGAAATAATACACCGTACTGACCCACCACCTCCTGGGCAGCTGGTTCCCACAGCTGTGGTGCAAAAGGCAATTAAGATAAAACACAGCTCAGCAATGAATCACGAGCCTGAACAGATCTCAGAGGTCATCTAGTCCATTCCTCTGCCCCATGGGAGGCTCAGCTATCCCCATGTCATTTCTTACAGACATCTATGTCACCTGCTTTTAAAAACTTCAGTGACAGAAATTACACAAGCTCCCTAGACAATATATTCCTGTGTTTCACCACCTTCACGTAGAAGTAGTTTAATCTTTCCTCACAGGCCACATTTTCTAGGCCTCAGATCTTTCTCCTCTCTTTCCTCACCAGTCTCACCAGGTCTTTTCTGTTTTCCCCACACAAACAACTCCAGTTAAAGCAGTTTCCTTCAAAAATCACTTTTGAAAGTGATCATTGAAAACCTTACTATATATTGCTGCTGGAATTCACAGAATCACAGAATAATCAGATTTGGAAGGAATCCTTGAGAATCATCTAGTCCAACTCTTGGCCCTGCACAGAACATCCCCAAGAATCACACCCTGTGCCTGGGAGTGTTGTCCAAACACCTCTTGAACTCTGTCAGGCTTCGTGCTGTGACCACTGCCCTGTGGAGCTGTTCCAGTGCCCAACCACCCTCTGGGTGAAGAAACTTTTCCTAATTTCCAACCTAAACCTCCCCTGACACAACTTCAGACCATTCCCTTGGGTCCTGTCACTGGTTGCTAGAGAGGTCAGTGCTGCCCTTGCACTTCCTTCTGTGAAGATGTATCACCTTTTTCCATTGTGCAACTGTAACATAATTTTAAGACTTAATGACAAAATTATTCAAGTCCTGCTTGTTTTAACTCCATTGGGTTTATTACAGATGTGCATGTGTAACAAGAGAAACAGCTCCAGGCAGTCACTGCCGTGTGACGTGTGTCCATAACGTCTATTACCAGAAACAGTAGAACATCAACAGCATAACATCAAATCAAGGAATTGTTGAGATGTAAAAACCAATTCAGTTTTCCACAGTCAAGGCAAAGCCATGTTTGAGACAGCTAACACCAATGCTACAAAATAATGACCTATCAGAGAGATGAAATTTGACTTTGCTCAAGCAATCAGTTTCATTAGGAACACACTCAGCCCACTAGTGAGAGCAGAACAAACCAGATTTGGCTCACAGCTTTCCTATACCCTGAATTCACACATCATCTGATTACTTGGGCTTTTTTAAAATCACTGAAGAAGTAAAAGAGGAAGAGAAGTAAGGCAATACTATAGTTAACTCACATCTTTTTTATTATTGCTAGCTTTACTTTCCTCAGGGAATATTTAGAGGAAGAAAGTGCATAAAAGGGTTAGAAATAGCTCCTTTTGTTAATTAATTTAGTCTGCTGCATGGACCAGCAAGGACAGAGGACACCACTTACCAAGCTTATAATACTCTGAAAATGAGATAAAATTGCAATTATTCACAGACAACAATGAATTGGTAACTTCTCTAATACACTGGACCAAATACAAAGTATTTCTTTGTTTTAAATAGTGGATTACAAAAGACTCCAAAAGAAAGATCTGGATTTGACCCCAAAGAAGCATAAGAAATTGACACATTACTGCCTTTCTATAGGCATATTGCTACAAGCAGCACCAAACATGTCACAGGACCAAATGCAAGGACTGTGCAAGGACTACAGGCCTTTACAGATGAGAAGGGTTAAAGATTGTTTCACGGAGCCAAATCTTTAAGCAAGAAAAAAAAAACACAACAGAACAAACAAAGCACATTTTAAGCATCAGTTTAACTTATGTATTCATTATGCATTTTAAAGTACATCAATGAGATATGAAAATTTGTGATGCTCCTTTTTGAGCTGAAGGTGTCCCTAGAAAAATTTCACAGATAAATCAGTTCCCTTATGATTTCCAAGATCTTTTAAAAGGTGTGGCAACGTCAGATAACAGAATTTTATTATGCCCGACTAGCTGAGCATTCCCAACAAGCACTACTCTAGTCAGAGCTGAAGAACTAACACTTTGCTACTGAAGGTTTCAAAATCAGAAGTCAACATATTTCATGATGACTTCTGATCACAGGGAAAATATAAGACAGGCCAACATTGATATTCAAGGTATATTTTGCCCCATTTCAGGCAAAAACTTCCAATCATCAATAACCAAGAGAGCGTTAGCTGATTCCATTTCAGGATGCAACATGGGAGTATTAAGTGACTGAGCATTGATCAAATGACGACAGAATCTGGAGACTGAGTCTCAAGTAGTATTGGTTGACCCTGACATTAAGTATGTTCACACATTATATAAGCCTCTGAAGTACTGTTTCTGCTGCTGAAAAGTGCTGTTGAAACTCTGCACATACATATTTGCAAAGTCAAACACCTACAAATACATTTCTCCTGTTCAAACAATCTTAAAATGGCCTACTCTTAAACCAACTTTCTGGCAAGGAAATACAGAGCAGTACCTGACCCAACCATTTCACTGTTCTCAAGGTAAATTCTCTCAGCATTTAATGTGGGTCACCTGCAGCAAAATTTCTTTTTATGTAATAACTCACCAGCCACTGAATGATTTAAAATGAAGGTGCCTTTTCTTTTCCCATGTACCTTGCACATACACAGAGGATGGAAAGAAGGCAGCAGTATTTCAAAAGATGATGCTTACATATCCCTTCTAAACGTGTACAGTTCTCTAGGGAACAATCAGCTCAGCAACGTCTGTAATGCTCAGGCTATAATTACCAAAATGAGATGCATAACCTTTATTACACCAGCAAACAGTTAACTTTACAGATTATTTCTCTTACTTCGGTGCTCTCAAATCTTTCATCTTTTTTTTTAAGTAATCAACTGCTTCCAATCTTCCACACTGCAGCTACTGTGCATCCAATGCCAGATGCTGCACACCTCACTAGCAGAAACTCAGCACAATGCAAGACCTTCTCCAGCCCATATAGTTTCATATACTATTGCAGCATGACAGAATGCCTTTAGGATTTAGCAAATCCAAGCAGATTCTGTTGCTGTATCACAATGCTTTGAAATCCCTCGTTTCAAAAAGGAAAAAAAAAAAAAAAGAAAAGGAACAGCCTACATCTCCAAACGTGACAGTGGCATAGAAAAACGCAACGCAAGGAGAGAATAACGACAGTATTTATGTTACCTTCAGTCACATAGTTGTGGTCTCGCAGAAAGCTGTGGTTAATTTTCCGTGTGTCCGTGTCCTCGCCCATTTACAGCAGGATTACTCAGCATGCCTATCCGCAGTGGACTGATAGCATCAGCAGAGGTCGTCGCAAGAGCACCATCCATACTGCCACTGCCTTAGCAGAGGCGGAGAACACACCGGGCCACTGAGCACAGCATAATGAGAGCCAGCGCAGACTGGGGGTGCGAATAACGACCGGGAAAAAAAAGGAAAAAAAAAAAGAAAAAAAAAAAAAAGGAAGAAAAAAGAAGGGAAAAAAAAAAGTCGCGGAGAAAGCCGGAGGGAGAAGATGCTCCGAGAGATGCAGAGATGCAGTGGGGAG